GGTTTTGCAAACATTTTTCCATTTGTTTCTAATAGAATAGAAAGAGTATTTTAAAAAAAGATTGGCCAGCAGGAGGGCTATATTTCGTACCAAAATATCATCTGGATCACCCTGAAAAAGGAGCTTGTAATATTCTCTTGACTGACGGCATAGGGTGTGAAGTATAAATTCCTGAACAGGAAAGATGTACGTTGGTTGTGCAACGGGAGAATCCATGTGATCTTGTTATTTATGGCACTTTTCTCAGATGTCTTTCTGTGAATAGAACAGCTGCGATGAACTTTACCCAGCATAGAGCGTTAGGTATATTTGAACTACTCTATTTTACTGTTGCTCGGATAGTGGCATATACAATATTAGCACTAACTTATGTGACTCCCGTTTTAAAAACAGAGCAGAACCTTTTTTATTGATTGAAAGGCTCAAGGGAAAAAAAAAGTAAGAATATCATCCATAACTTTGGTGGACTTTAGGGAGTGATTGTTGAAGGCATCTAACTTCTTTATAGTGTAATAGCAAAGAAAGAGGGGTCTGACAGAAGAGGAAAAACATTTGAGATGGAAGGTTGAAAGGAGAGATGTTCTCAGCCTTGAACAGTAACCATGTTCACATGCTCTCCTACTGGCCAGTGGATTTTTTCTTAGGCAATGTACAGATACTGCTTGCATTTTTAGCTCAACAGATTGAGAATTTTAGCAGCCCAAACCACCTTTGTTGAGTCTGTTAAAATATTTCCTTGCCAAGACAGTGTTTCTTTGTGTGTGTGACAACTAAAAAATATTGTCCCCTTTTCACTTTGAAGTCAGAAATGAACCAAAAAAGAAAGTGTTGCACTTAGGGCTTTTAAGATTTTTTTTTCCCATTGCCAATGGGAGAATTGTTCTCTGTGATTACTGTCTTCCCTTTCAACCTCAGCAAATGCCAAATGCAAACCACTCGATTGCTGTGGCAGTGCTCGAAGACTTGTGGCTTGGGCCACTGCTTGAGTTGGTTGCCCAAGAGCATTGTACAAGCACTGTGTCCATTACGGGTTTTTGGCTGGATTTTGTATGTCTTCCTTACAGATGTGGGAGCAAGAAGGATGGGAAAGGGTTTTTGGCCTTTATAAAGAAAGTATCAAGATCACTGGCAAAAAAAAATGTCTTAATGCTGCTATGTAGCCATTAAACAGTATGGGGAGGGCATTGAGGTGATGTCGTAAGTTAACCGTTGTTGAGATGTGTGATTTTTATTCAATCAATATATGATAAATTCCATTTGTTTGAAGAGCAGAGGCTGGGACAGACTTTCTCTTGACTGGTTCCTTGCCTGAACATCCTACTAAAGAGGCAGAAAATATAATTCTTTCTTAGTTGAGGCAAAGGAGCATTCTGCTGCCCTAATTCACCAGTTTGAAACCCTCGATCAAAACACTTATGCTGAAAAACACCCATATCTGCATGGTGTTTCTCACAGATGCTGTAAAAATTCCCTCTTGGCCCCCTCTTTGGAGGGCCGGTGCCAGCTTCCCATGAGGTATCAACCAGACCTACTCCTCTCCTAAAGCCTTGTGGACTAACAGTCTGTGGCCTAGGATCTGAAAATCTATTTCCAAGGCTGGGAGAAAAAAATACAGTCCGAACACTTATTTGAAGGGCGACTGTTTTTTGCAAGCTGAGAGAATCTAGAACCTCACATTTGCCTTAATAGTTCCCTTTCTTAGTCTACTGCTTGTATACATGGCTGTAATCTTTTTTTTTCCCCCCACCAAAAACACGCGTTGAATGACGATGTGACATTAAACCTGCCATTCCTCTTGCAAGTGCTGTGTGAGTAGGAATGGCAGTGACTAATGGCAGTGGGTCTTCACCAAACGCTTGACATAATGATCACTGTGAGTGCTTCGTGAGTTGGCCACGAGTTGCAACATACACTGCATTTCTTCTGTGGAGGAACCTGCAGGCCACAGGAAGGCTGGCCAAGAAAAAAATGGGATCATAGCTACCCCTGGGAGATGCTGAGAGCACAACCTTTGGTGTCACCCCCCCCCCAAAAAAAAAAAAAAAATATAGAGAGAGAATATCCAGAGTTGCAATTAAATAAGGTAAAAATAAATTAGGGATATACACCTCATGTTAATTGGCGAGGTCAGGAAGTAATGTCCCCTTTGGCTGAATTAAATCACTGTTCACTCAACAAGTTCTTACACCTTACGAAGCACCTGGACCCAACGCAGGAGACACAACTCTGGAGTGGAGGGACCAGTGAGCTGGCCTGGTCCTGGCAGGTTGTAGTGTGTCCTGTCTAGGTAAGGTTGTCCTGAAAAGTATGGAGAGGCGGTTTTCCTTTTTCCTCGGGTGTTTCTGAAGCAGCTTGTGCTGCAGTGTGTATTTCAGTGAAAAAATGATAACTTCGGACCTTTAAATTAGATCAAGGGGCTGTCTGTCTGCACCTCAGTAGCAGCCAATGTAAAGATAGACCTGTGACTGACACATAAGAGCGCCTCTGTGTTGCTCCTTAGGAGTAAAAGTAGCTCTGGGAGCAGCCAAACTAGTGAAGATGAGCTATGAAGGAAAGCTTAGATGCCAAGTGATAACTGAGTTAACAGTCCAAGAAGGTTTTGTGTTTTATTAGTGAGTTACCAAATCCTTCTGCCAGCGTTGGCTACTATGAAGATCAAAGTTAGAAGTATCAGCGACTGGTAAATTGTCTCTTCAGAAGAAAACTGAAAATTTCTCCATTAGTTTGGGCATGCGGGTGACAGGCAGCATCTGATCTGCTTGGTGTTTGGGTTGAACTTCAATTACTAACCTTTTTCTGTATGCACCCCTCTGCATGCAGCAGTGGGTGTCTGGAAGTCTTGTAATCTGTGTTGTATACGTGCCAAGTGCAGACATCTGATTAGAGGCTGAAGATGTCAATAATTAGTTAATGGCCCCCAGTTTGTTTGTGGGGCTTGGGACTAATCTTGACAGATGTGTTTCTTGTCTTTCCTGAGCAGGGAATAAGACGTTTCTTGGCAGTAGGCAGGGTCACTGAGAGGCAGGTTTATGGGAGAGCTTGTGTTGCTAGTGCATTTGAGATCGGAACCCACCTCTCATGCCTTGTTGCTGGTGGAAGGGAATGGAATTACTTTGGTTTCACTAGGAGGGGTTGACATGGGACAGATACGCTGTCTTCATGAGCAAAGTGCAGCCACTCAAGTAGTTTTACAGGAGAGAGTTTGGGGTGGGAGGTGGAGTCTGTGACTTTGTGGTGACTGCTGATAAGAGTCACCTGCGCTGTTTCTGCTGGGAAGAGGTTTTGGTGATCATTTAAAGATGGCCTTAGCCCTAGCAGGAAGGGAGGAAATTGCTTTGAACCACCTCGCAGAGCAGGTTTGGTGCTGGTCTGTTCGCCCCGAAGGTGTCCTGACTAAAGGTGCTGTGCAGATGGCTTCTTTTGCACCCTCTTGCTCAACGCTGAGGCAAAATCATTCAGCAGAGATGTGATTTGGGCTGCTTGTGTGGACACAAGACGACTAGATTGTGCTGCGGTGCCTTTATGCTGTTGGCATGCGTCCTGCTGCTGGCTTTGTGCTCTGTTGTTGTCCCTAAAACAGAGTCCATCACCTTGTGTGCAGTAAACATCTGATGATAGGTGTTCCACAGGACGTAAGGCTGGTGCAGGATTTCTGCTTGTCAGGAGGTGTCATTGGCTATCCCGACTCCGGCTCTAGATGTTTGCATGCCTAGCGTGGAGAGGCTTAGCTTCTGAGCAAGAGACTGTATTGCCTAAAAGGAGCTGGACTGAAATTTGGGGTTTTATTAGAGACACCAAGGCATATTGCTGTTTGTCTTTCCTTGCTTCCTCCCTGTGATGTTTCCTGTTTCACTTCTCGAGATGCAGGTGTCATGATGAGGAGCTTCTCAGAAGCAGAAGTGGATGATGAGTCGAGATGAAGAGATCATACATTTAAGAAGTTGACTCAAGTTGCCCTTACAGGCATGGAAAGTTTCTGAGACCAAGCCCTGTGAGAAGAACATGAGCAAAGAAGAGGGAGATGTAGACCCAGGCTTTCTAGAAGGGATTGCAGGATTTGAGAGGATGCTGCACAGCCATCACATAGTTGCCTTGCTTACTCATTTACCTCTGCCCTTGGATCGTAACTCCCTGTTTGCCTGCCTGCTTGGAAGTTGAAAAATCCCCTCACATCTGTGTCTTCAGTATAATTGTGGCCTCGAGCTTGTTTTAGGAAAAGCATAAATCACTGTAGTTTTTATTTGTTCTTTAGATAGCGGCTCCTGTACTCAGAATCTTTTTTTTTTTTTTCTTAATGGAAACTTTTGTTGAATATGGAGAAGATCAGATCATGGCAGTAACAAATCAGCAAATCCAGGGCTCTGCTTGCATTTAATAAACAGTCTTTGTATAAAAAAGTGTGATAAGTACGCAGATAAAAAGCGAAAAAAGATCTATCCCCCCCTCTTTCTGGCAGAGCTGTGGGGTGTTACTGGAGATTGCTCAATTTCCACAGTGTATAGACTTGAGGGATAGCTGCTGAAAGGGGTAGTTATTTTGACCATCTTGGCTGTTATGTGAAGTATCTTGGAGAAGACTCTAGCCATGTTATGCAACAGGTTGAGATCTTGCAAACAGACTTATTTGTAAGGAGTTGCCGATACGGAATTACCAAGACTTTGATGTTTATATATTGAAGGTTTAAAAATTGAATGCGATTTTGAACAATGTTCCTGATCGAGGCAAAAAGCATCTTTGCTTTTCCTAAGAAGTCTTATCTGGTGTTTTGTTCTTATTACAGGCTAGAGTTATTTCTGCCTACTGGCTGAATATTTGGTCTTTAAGAGTATATAATTAGATGGAAGATGGCAAGCAGTTGTTAAAAGACTGTTTTTCTAATGAAAATATTTTGAGATCGTATAATTTTACTTTCTTCTGAATAGATGTGATTAGTGTGTTGGAAATGGTTTTAGAGTGGGTATAAAGGAAACGGTTGAGAGACAGTGGCTGAGAGTGTGTCCAGCTATTTTTGTAGCTAACATTTATATTTTAATGCTGGATTATTTTTTTCAATCTCTTTAGATACTTCCATATAATTGAACAGCTAAATAATTGGATAAACTATTTGCATTTATATATATTTTTAAAGTAGGCATTATTGTACTAATTGATAAGTAAATCACAATGACTGTGAGAAGATCCTGCATTAAGTAATTGCTTTAATAGACCATTAAATATGGGATAGCATTGTCTGTATGATACAAAAATGTTTCCATGGATTTTTAGTTGCTGAAACAGAAATCAATAAACTTTAGTTGCTGTTGTTGACTGGAAGAAGTAAATCCGAACGTTTCTCTTCTCTTACTCTGTTCACGTGTTTCTCTCGGTGACATTTTGTTCATGGTCTTCGATTTTTAGACCAGCCTGTGAGGCACGGGTGATCCGGACCTTGGCACATCCTTCTGGGAAGCTGCCTTGGTGGAGAACTCTGCCCCTCTCTGCGTTTGTGCAATTAAATGCCCTTTGTGTTTTCTGAATAAACCTTAGAGAATCCCAGGCAAAATACAATCCCCGAAGTAATAGATTAGCCAATGGGACAGTTCGTATTTTTTTTTCTTATTGTAAACATGTTAGTAACTGACAGTTATGTTTTAAAAGGAATACAAAACATAGCCTGAATTTCATGCTAGGTTAGTGATACCAGTTTATCCCAGAATTGAAGGTCCCTTAGTCAACAATACAATGTACATTCTGGACAACTTTGGAGGAGGGCTAAGAATTTTTGTTTAACTCAGAAGACTGGAAAGGATTGTGTTGGTTTTAAAACCATACTTCAGGTCTGAAATGAGCAAGTTATAGTATAGCCCACAGTTTTTGTAATCCATCCAGATATTTGTATTAAATAAATTGAGGCAAAGGAGTTCACATCTGCTCAAAATTTAAAGGAAACAAAAATCAAATTGCACTAAAGAACTTGATTATAATATGAAGCTCATCTTGGCTGGAGTAATTTATTCCACCATTTCAAAGCAACCGTTTTCCTCATATCGATTTATTTATCGAGATTCAATATGTAGTTACTTCAAAGCTCCTTACTTAAGTATACAGAGATATGGAAAGAAATGACTTCTGACAGTGTCAGTGGCCAGTTCAGTTTATTAACTGTAGTTTATTTGATCCTTTAAATGAAAATGATTTTATGATTTTTTTTTCCTGGGTGTTCAGTATTTTTTTACCTGGTGATTCACTTGTTGGTTTGTTCTGTAGCTGCCTGCGAGCCCGAGGCTCTTGCTCAGCAGTACCGCAGAGGCGGGCTGGGGCCTCCTCCGAGCTGTGGAGGACACACGCGTGCATCGCTGCCAGGTTTGCACCTTGAGGACGTGCAGGGCACACGTTCCTTTGTCACACAGGCCACTTTCTAGAGCAGTCAAGTGCTAGAACATCCACCTAGGGAGAAATGCAGCCCCTCCACTCCAGGTACCCACATCCACTGAAATCTGGCCAGTCTGGTATGTGCGTCAGAACCGGCCGGCCTGCGCCAGCCACCGCGGTTCCTGTGGGCTGCAGTGTTCTGGGTGCTGGTGAGGACATCTTGAGTCTCCACATCATCTCCTGTGGCAGCTTCTGGTGTCATTTCCAGGCCCCATCAAGCTATGGGGAGCATAGCAAGATCCTAGCATTCCCTCAGCTCTTTTTCAGGGCTACCGGGTTGAATCCACATGGGAAATATCAGCATCAGAGATAACTCAAGAGCCATTGGGTTGCCAAAGCTGGAGTCTGTATAATGACTGGGCCCTGTCCACGTTTGGTAAAACTTGCCAGTATCTACTGAGTCCTCATGGGCACGGGCATGCACTCCGTTTCTGTGGTCTCTGTGCTGCTAGCTCTGTTTTTGACCCTTCCTCAGAAAGGCAGGCGCAGAGGAAGGCTTCCTCATGGAATCCCCTTTGCTATTCCTGGACTTTGCATCAGCATCCACACGATCTGTCTTCCCCTGGGCAACCATCGGGGTGCTGTCAAGCGTCGCTCTCAGCAGCCCGGCCTGGCTATAAACAGCCTTTCCAGGGGATGAGGCGTCCTGGCCGCTGGAGCTGTTTGCTGCTATTGCGTGCTGAGAGTAACATCATCTTTCGCTACCTTAAGAAACTTCTCTTCCAAGAGTTTCTCTTCTCTGTTATAGCCTCTGTTAACAAGCAGAGAGATGAGAGCTGCTCTGGCGCTTGATGCGGATGAGTTCATTGATCAACTCGCAGGAGGCGCTGCGAGGCCCTGGATCCCTCCTGTACCGTCAGCAACGCTGCACGTGTTTCTCCCCAGATGTGGGTCCTGGACCTCTGAAGCTCAAGTGATAACAATTCCAGGGTTTGCTCTCAGCCTAGCAAAAGCCCAGGTAAAACATGTAGCTATTTTTGTGCTAAGCTCATCTGAGGGAGAGAGTTCTTGAGAATGAGATCCTTGAGCAGCGGGCCACGTGGAGCTGGTTTGTAGGTCTGCTTTTCCTAAGGCTTTTGGCGCTATTTCTAGCACAGGGAAAGGGTTGCAGAGTGACATTTTGCTTTGTGGAGGGTAAAGCCAAGCTTTTCTTGACCTGCCTTGACAGGGCAGCGTGCCCTCAGGAAGTCCCTTGGAGGTGTTTGCTGACCCAAGTGCCAGCCCGTGAGACATTCCCTGGCAGGTTCTAGGAGCGACGACTTAATTCCTAGCCAACATGACACGTCTGTCAGGCACCTGTTTGCTCCAGCAGGACAGTCTGCTTACAGTGCAGCAGCCAGTGCCTCAACCCGCCTTTATTAGTGATGGCTAGAGGAGGTAAATGTGTACCACTAAATGGGCTCCGAAGAGTGGAGGTCAGCAGCTTTTGAGCTTTGAGAGAAAAGGCCTTTTTGTTGGCGTTCTTTGTATGGCCAACATCTGCTGGACAACTTGAGGAAGAAGCTGTATTGCTCTTCTGCTGGTGTGAAGTCCTGTTTGTGGCTTAGACTTGTTTCCAGAAATTGTATGCCTATATGATCACCTATTTAAGATTCAGGAGGTGTAATATCCACTCCTGCTGTTACGAAATGAAGCCAAGACCACAGCTTTCATCGGCTTCATTGCCGTTTTCACCTTTACAACCGTGTTACTGCAGTGTGCGCAAATTAAAGGCAGCTGTTCCCCCTGCCGCTCTATATTGGCCTGATCTACTCACTCACATAATCCCAGAGGGTCATAATTCCTCCCCGCTCTGGGATTTCGCTGATCTTTGCCTCCTTTTGGCACAGCGCTAGCTCATTTCAGCAGTGCTTAATCCTCAGCCATGCTAGGCACTGATTTTGGAGTTTGTTGGTGTGAGCCAGCCAGCATGGTTTGACATCCCGGTGGATGGTCCAGCTCCCTTTGTAAGAGAGTCAGTCTTGGGACTCTGGGGAGCCAAAGAACTGGCTCCCTTCTATCCCATGGGCAAAAAATTTTACAGCAGTTATTTTCTGCAACCCCAAAAGAATGGCCAGCAATTTGAGGCTTGAG